TTGCACAACCTGTACTTATTTTTATAATTGTCTGAATCTTGAATACCCAAAGTGTGAAATTTTTTTATGGATATTTGTTTGTGGTGTAATGCAATAGATGGCGCCACATTGTATTTATTTTTTGGGTCACTTACATACATATATACATGCTACATCTATTATAGTAAGATTCACAATATTTGTGATTCTTAACTATCAGAAGTACACTGAGTAGCTTTAATACTAATATGATTTTGTATCGTTAAATTTCAGTAGTAATGTGAACAGGATTTAAGTCTTGTAATATTACAGTTTCTTAGTTCTACTTGTTCATATTTTATTTTACTGTCATGATCCAAAATTAGTCTTTTTAGTTCAAGATCTATGTATCGATTTAGCCATGGTTTATTAAACTTCTCAGACAAATTAGACAGTTTACAAGTTACCATTATTAAAAATCGTCATTACAGTAAAAACACTATTTAGGGGAAACTACAAATCAATAGAAGTTTACAGTAATACTTTAGGTATTTATAAAATTTATGTTTGTTCTTGCACAGGACCCAATCAGGAAGCCTATGATAATGACCACAGATAAATCTTTAAAAAGGGATGCATGTGAACTTTTCAAGCTAATTCAGACATATATGGGTGATCGCAAAGCCAAAAGTGGACAAACAGTTGATGCAATAGTGCTTGATATAGCCACTAGGGGATGGAGTAGACAGTCATTACGTGATGAGCTTTACATTCAGATTTGTCGTCAAACCAATGATAATCCAAAGAAGTGAGTTACTGCTAAGTTATTTAGAATTCATGGCTAAAGTTTGGTGACAGATCTCGCATCTGAGTGTCAATAGCTGATCAGTTTTTGCCTGTGTGTGTGTGTGTGTGTTCCATAAAACTGTCAGATGCCATTCAACATAGATTTTTGTGTTTTAAAATCATATTTAGTTGCAAGAAGGTGCTCCACTTTTTCCCAAAGATATGAATGTTTATTATACTGGGAATCTCAAAAGTGTGTGTATGAAGTGAGAAACAGTTTTGTTTTATTTTCCTGGAAATGATATGTTCAGAATATATTGTTACATAAACTCTACTGAGCTAGTTCTTATATTACTAGGATATGTAATTAATGACACATCTTTTGATGAATAAAGTAATGATTTCAATTCCTAGCCCATTTTTAATACCAAAATGTTAAAATGTAAAAGTTGTTTTACTCAGAAATAAATATCTATTCATTGATTTAATTATTTAATTGAGACGTGTTAAACTATGAAAACTGCAGTCTGTAAATTTTCACTGTGTCTTCTCTTGTCCTGTTTCTAAAGCTAACAGAACTTATTTTATTTTTACTTACAGAATGTGTTTAATGTCAGTATCTTATTTCTTTATTTTTATATTTTTGTTACAGTTAAAGTACATATAATTTTTGTAATTTTTAATGAAACTTGAAGTATATTGCATTATATAAATATTGTTATAAGTGTAATTGATAATAGCATGAAAATATGTAAGAAAAAATAACCATGCTGTAATAGAAAATTATTGATATGCAGTCATGCCACTCCTGCTTTTTTTTTAAAGATACTTTTGCTATTTTTGGATCAGTTACATGGGTTCAAGAACCTACAAATATTTGTAACATCCTTTATATTAAAAATAATACAAATTATGTATTTCAAAAACAAGAAAACTGTTAAGTTTACTTAATTGTAATGGCATGTCTCTAAAATGCCTTCTTATGAAATTTTAAGTTCTGAAAATTGAGTGATTTCAATAGCTATATTGGATATAACTGAAATGAGGAAAAGAATGTATGCTAAAAGGTAAAATGGATAGAAACCACAAAAATCAAACAAGGACACTGTAATCAGTTCTTCAGAGTCATATGAATGCACAAATTATCAAAGTGAAGTATATATGTCATAAAATAGTAATTCCTCTTTGCCACTGCTTGTATTAACTTTATTTTCTGAATTTTACATTTTGTTTTTAATTTAATGACATTTGCCCAGGGAAAGTCTGAAGTTAGGTTGGGAATTGATGGCTATCTGTCTGTCGTTCTTCCCACCGTCTATAAAGTTTCAACCGTACCTAGACAGCTACATCAGCCGCCACAAAGATGAAACAAGCCTTGATACACCTGAGGTTAGATTTGACAGTTTTGTTATAGTAACTAGAATAAGTTCACTAAGGTTTTACAAAAGCTGTAGTTTCGAGATTTACTGGATACTCAACATTGCCAAGGTAAATAGTGTATTATTTCAAAATATCTAAGTTTCAAAAAAATTAGTAATATTATTAGCTAATTCAGTGGTATTTCTTGCCAGTGTTATCACTTTCACAGAAATATAGTTTTTGTCAGTGTTGTCACTTTCACAAATAAGATAGCTCTTGTCAGTGTTGTCACTTTCACAGTAAGATAGCTCTTGTCAGTGTTGTTACTTTCAAAAATAAGGTATCTCTTGTCAGTGTTGTTACTTTTACACAAAAGACAGCTCTTGTCAGTCTTGTCACTTTCACACAAAAGATAGCTCTTCTCAATGTTGTCACTTTTACACAAAAGATAGCTCTTGTCAGTGTTGTCACTTCCACAGAAAAGTTAGTTCTTGTCAGTTTTAGTTTGGCTTCTTGTAAGTTACAGTAAGTCTTTTAATACATTGTTTTAGTTCTTATGCTTCCTTTTTTTTTGTGAAATAATTGTGTTCCTCCTTTTGATCTATTTATTGTCTTTTTCTTATATTTCAATAATAGTTATGCTCTACCTTATTTCTGTGACTTTCTTTCTCATGAAATAATTATACTTCTTCCTAGTAACATCCTCCAGCGGCTCAGTGGTAAGTCTGAAGACTTATAATGCTAAAAACTGGGTTTTGATACTTATGATGGGTACAACACAGGTAGCCCATCGTGTAGCTGTGTGCTTAGCAATAAACAAACAAGCCAAATTTCATAGTGACTGTTTTTTTTGCTAAGAAATAGTGACTGTTCTTTACAATTTGATAAAGTTTCATTTTATAGTTCTTTTTATCCCATTTATCACATGATACTCCATATTTGTTCTCTTACTTAGCCTTGCTGGTTTATATTCAGGAGGGAATGTTTTAAAGTATGATTGATGTTGTAAGAAGATCTGGACTTTTCTAGAGGTATGACCGATGTAGTAAGAATGTTTGGACTTATTAAAAGTATGATTGATGTAGTAAGAAGGTCTGGACTTTTTAAGGTATGATTTATGTAGTAAGAAGGTATGGACTTTTTAAAGGTATGATTAATGTAGTAAAAATGTCTGGACTTTTTAAAGGTATGACTGATGTAATAACAATGTTTGGACTTATTAAAGGTATGATTGATATAGTAAGAAGGTCTGGACTTTTTAAGGTATGATTAATGTAGTAAAAATGTTTGGACTTTTAAAGGTATGATTGATGTAATAAGAATGTTTGGACTTATTAAAGGTATGATTGATGTAGTAAGAAGGTCTGGACTTTTTAAGGTATGATTTATGTAGTAAGAAGGTCTGGACTTTTTAAAGGTATGATTAATGTAGTAAAAATGTTTGGACTTTTTTAAAGGTATGATTGATGTAATAAGAATGTTTGGATTTATTAAAGGTATGATTGATGTAGTAAGAAGGTCTGGACTTTTTAAAGGTATGATTAATGTAGTAAAAATGTCTGGACTTTTTAAAGGTATGATTGATGTAGTAAGAAGGTTTGGACATTTTTAAGGTACTATTGGTGTTGTAAGAAATGATATAAGAAGGTCATTTAGTAGTATTCACTCAATATAAAAACTGCATAGTATTTAAATGTTTTTCAAAAAATGTAGTAGGCTATCTTATTTTAAAATCTTGAAGGTTGGTCTTACTTAACTCCTGAAAAATCTTCTATTTCTTGATTATGTTTTGTGAATTTGCCTTTTCAAAAAGGAAGTCAAGAGGCAAATTCACAAAATGTAATTAAAAAATAGAAAGGAAAAAAAAATCTTGGGTGTAAGTCTGAGCTTTTTTTATTTTAAAATAAAAAACATACATTTCTTGCTGTGCCTCACGTTTTTAACCAGGAAAACATAGAGTAGAGGTTTCCATGGCTGGTTACTCTAATATTTAGCCCAAAAAAGTATTAGGAACATGCCATCTAGTGAAACTTAAAATGAATGAAGGAGATAAATCTACGAAACTTAAACAAGTCAGAAGAAGAAGAAATTGGTTATATTTATTTGTCAATCTCATAGATTAATTTTTTATTACTTTCCCTCGCTGTTTTATTGTTAAAATAGTTAGGAAGAGCTTCTCAAAACTATGTGAAAAAGACAAACTGTGATCTATTATTGATGTTTAATTTTGAATAGCTGACAAAAATTTTAACTACAAAATTAACCTTATTAATTATAAAAAAACAAAACAAAATTGGGGCATTAAAAACAGGAAGAAAGTTTAATTTTTGAAGAAACCTAGGAAAAGCATTCAAAATATTGTAACTATAAACAAAATAATCAAGTAGAGAGGCTTATCTTGTAATAGCGTCTAAGCTGCACTTAATTTTTATAATAAATAGGCTTTACCAGTTGAAATGGTAGGTTTGTCTGTAGAGTGCAAATTTAATAATTTTTTTATGATATGTATTATTTTGTTATGTTTTTATTGTTAATAAACCAGGTTTAGATTAACTGCATGCAAAAAATAGTGTATTTGGGTAATCACATGTTTCATCAAATAAAGGTTCAAAGTCCACTAAATTTAAGATGTTGGAAATTTAGAATAAAACAACTGTCAGCATTGTTTTCTTTTACTTTGAAAGAATAAACTGCAATGAGAAACTTAAATGTATAGGATATAGAGTAATAGATATCTTTCCATGTGTATCTCTTATTTTTTCACCATCAGTGATAAAATAGTGCTACCCTAGTTCTCATCTTTGAGAATAATGTATGTGATAGACCTTGTTAAATCATATTTATATACTTTAGTGAATCATGTTATATTTGTATAATTTTAGTATTCTGTAAAATTGAGTTAAATTTCTGATAATCACACAGGGACAACTGTTTATCTAAAGGTCATGGCAGCTCCTTGTAGTTTCTTACATATTTGAGACAATGGTTCTGGTGTCTTTATAGTGGGGAAATCAGGGAACTTGTTAGAGAATGTGTATGTGCAAAATCTCTTGTTGCACATGATGTGTAACATAAATATTAGAACTTTTCTTTCTTAGTTTTCTTTTATGCAAGTATATTAATAATTAATTTCAATTTTGAATTTGATTTTCTTTACCTTTAGCTTAGGGTTAGCCAGTATGCTGCTATTTGTAGTAAAAGATTGGAAAGAATAGGACAGAGTGGAGCTAAGAAAGGATTAAAAAAACCAACACTTGAAGAAATAGAACAGTCTAGAGTGAGTAATTGTTCTCTGTGTATTTTGTAAAGTTAAAAGAAAGTTGAGAGTAATACAATTATTCCCCATTTATTTCAGATCTCACCAAAATTGTTCAACATTTTAGATGTTTATAACTTGTACGGAAAGCTTATCTTAATATGTATGGAACTTAACATGTCAGTCATTTTTATGTAAGTGCAAATATAACTATGAACAGACTTAAAAGATTATGAAATATGCAATGAAACTAGAGACTGGTATTTTGATGAAATGAATATAAAGCCATCTAGTATGATGCATTTAATGAAAACCTGGCTTTTGTTTTTAAATATTTTTTAATCATTTCCTATGTATCTGCTAATATAATAATGCAGTCAAAATTTATTACATTAAGTTGTTAATTACATCATCACATTTATTTACAAGATCTTATCAGATACACATGGTTAAAGGTAATCCCATTGAGATCAATACATCATAGTCTGAGTTTCTTAACAAATAAACAATTTCAGTAACATTACAACACTTTAAAGCTTAAAATATGAAAAAGGTAAAACGTTGCAAGAAAAAAATCAACATTTGATTAAGTAACCTTCATTCCTGCTGTGTCTTTTTAATACAATTTTTATAGTTTGTAGCTAGTTATTGTCTGTTAACATGATTGTTTTTCTGCTTCACTTTTAATCCATTTAACCAAAATTTGTATGTCAAATCTTTTTACACAAAAACTTTATTATCAATGTATATCAATAAACTTGGCATCAAAGCATAATTATTTATTCAAATTTTAATATTATCTAAATTTTAATTTCAAAAAGAAATAATGAAAAAATTCTCAACCTTTGCTTTCTTGTGCCACATGATGCACCTGTCTTTTAATTCTCTTTTTCAGAATTTTCTAACATCAAAACTAGGCTACTGAGGCTTACACAAAAAAACTATGCATAATGGAAAAAAAGAATATGAAATTTAAACCTCTTACCTTCTTGATTTGCAGAGATATCAATGAATTCATAAAACTCACTGGAGAAGCCCCCTCCCTTATTTTCATACCAATTATCTACATCATTTCTACGTGACAAATTTCGTGAGAATGCACTTGATATATTCAGAGTTATAGTAGGTATAGTTTCACATTTCTAATGTGTGTCAAACTGACCCATTTCAAACAGTAAGAATTAATAAAATGTGTAATGTTAAAGTTATTAGCCTGAGCATCTTTATTTATTTCAATCTATCATTTATTTGCTCAAGTGTAGAATAAAGTTTATGTATGCTAACATAGCACACATAGATAATGTCTATCCAAGAAGTGTGTTTCTAGCTGTTATTTTTCCAAGTAGTGTGGTTAGAATGTTTGTAATCACTGGAATAGCATATGTAAATTATTTTACTCCAAGTAGTGTGGTTGTGGTCACTGGAGTGGCCATGTGGATTCTGTTGCTCCAGGCAGCATGGTTACAGTCACAGAAATAGCCAAGTGAACTCTTTTTGCTCCACACAGCATTGTTAAAATCACTGAAGCAGCACATATGGATTATGTTGTTACAAGCAGCATGATTGTAGTGATTTTATTACTCTAAGTATCAGTTTAATTACTGGGACTTGTCTATGTGGATTGTGTTGCTCCAGGCAGCATGATTGTAGTCACTGGAATAACCATGTGAATACTGTTGCTGCAGGCAACATTGATAAAATACATGTTGATTTTATTACTCTAAGCATCCGTTTAATTACTTGGACTAGTCTGTGTGGATTGTGTTGCTCCATAGAGGCAATGATGTGATGACTGAAGTGGTTTATTTTAATAATTCCTATCGATATACTTCAGTTTTTATGACAAAAAATATAACTACTTTTATTCTAATCCTGATGAAGATTTATATCTGTGTCATTGAAATAATTTCTGAATTATAATATAGACTAAAAAAAGTAAATTTCTTTCATGCTAGATCCAAATTTTTCGGCCTTCCATGTTTGGCAACACACTGGAAGAAGTAATGGCATTACAGAAGGATCGGTGTCCAAGTCGCAGCCTACCCTGGATCCAGACCACCCTCTCAGAGAGTGTTTTACAGTTGAATGGAGCTCAGACAGAAGGTATCTTCAGGTAAGCAGTATTGAAGAATATTATTATTTTCTATTTTCAAAGTATATAGTGAAAACTGGAGTAATTTATACATGAAAATGTAAAACCAAAGTGTTGGGAAGTAAAATGATTGTTTTTTATCTTGGAAGAAAAGGTTATATATTTACAAAACATTGAATAATATTTTAATTAATGAAATCTCAAATATTGCAAAATACAAAGGTGGAGCATGTTATACTAAAACAATTGTTGAACCTCACCATGTCATCATGTTTCATGTTGCCACGTCCTTTCTTGCTCTGTCTGATGACTGTGCATCTTGACAATACTCATGCAGCTTAGTTTCCATTCCAAAAAGCTCTGTCATAAAACTCTTGTCAAAACATATCTCTTCTACCTGCATGCTTTTCATATTCCATCTAATATACAAGGATGATGGTTCCCAGCTGCTACTTCAATAGTCTGACTCACTGAAATTCATAGGTGTGATATCTTACAACCTGACCAGTATGTATTCATGTAGAACAATCTGAATTCCTGTTTCATTTTCTAGGTATATGAAGATTTAACCCTCTCGTTATGGGCAGATTAACGTGTGCATCTCACAACTTTTTAGAGTTACATTCAGAATTTAATTAAACTACTTTAATATCATGGTATGTGAATAAATGTGACAAAAAAAACATGTACCCCAGTGGCACAGCAGTATGTCTGTGGACTTACAATGCTATAAACCAGGTTTTGATACCAGTGGTGGGCAGAGCACAGATAGCTCATTGTGTAGCTTTATGCTTAATTACAAACAAACAAACATAGTTAATAAATGAAGTTTTAATATTATATAAGTTTTAAGTTCTTAATTTTATAAGGAAATATTTTTAAAAATCCCTAATCTCTTCCTACTATGAGAATTGTGACATTTGTTCTCTAGGTATTCCCTCTTCTCTAATTTATTTACCACCTCTCTAAGAAGTACAGAATTTAACATATATTACTCATTATAATATTTTTATCAGTTAGGCACAGCATAATTTTTACAGCCTTCAATCTTATTTGGTTACAGAGCCATAAAATTGAAAATCAGACCTCACTTGCCACACCTACCTGTCACATCATCTCTTTCACAAATTGTCAATAGTTCTCTCTGACATTTAATACTGTATTATTTATAACCAGTAGAAAGCCAAAATTTTTACTTATGAAATGACATATCATATGTTTTCTCTACAGAAAATTGTCTATTTGACTTCCAGTTCAAACTTTATTTCCACAGGAAACACACTGATGAGCTTAGCTGAATTTTTAATATATATTGTCTGCTTTTTATGTGTTATAATTCTGTATTCTTAAAAGCAATACTTAATGTAATAAAAAATCATTTAGTGTAGTAGTATCATTAGTATAAAAAAAGTAGGGTTAAATTTTACTGACTGTCGACAGCAAAAAAAAAAAAGATTAGATAGATATTATATTTCCTGTTTTTGTGTGTATTATTTATTTATCATTATAAAAATAAGTAAAAATTAAAAATTTATTAAGTTAAATAAGGTTAGATTAGGTAAGATAAAGAAGAAACTAAAATAAATAAAAATTGTTCATGAGGTATGCTCTCGAGTAGCCAGTGCCTTATGTAATTCAATAGGATAATGTGAACTACAAATTAACCAAGTGATTTACTACTTGTGTGGTAGGATTATTAGTTAGAAATGGTTCAAAGGACAATAAAACAATAAAATTCAAGTAGAACCAGATGTATACTGTTATGAGATTTAAGCTATTTAGGATAAACAAATGCAGTTTTGTGGTACAATTTAAAGTCATTCTAGAAAGAAGAAAAGAGTAATATAAGTTTATTTTGTATTTTTTATGGCGGTTACAAGGTCGGTCAAATTGACCAACCTTGTATAGAGTTGGGTAGAGAAAATAACAGATAAAATATAAAGTTTTACTGGAAAAAATTTTGAAATTCATTTAGGAGGTTTTAGAGATAATTCAAATGAAATGTAATGATTTTCAGAAGAAGAATAGTATTTTTAACCTTAACATGAAAATCACTTTACTCTTGAAGCAGTCAGTGTTTTGACTTCATATATTCATATACAATGTTTTAGTGTAAATATTCTATTAAAAATTTTGATTTTTTGTCCACATTTTTTTGCTTACTAAAAGCTTGAAATAAAATATGTAGTTTTACTGAAAAAAAATCTTAGAAATTCATTTAGGAGGTTTTAGAGGTTATTCAAATGAAATTTGACAATTTTCAGATGAAAAAAATATTTTTAACCTTAACGTGAAAATCACTTTGCACTCAGAACAGTCAACACTTTGGCTACATATATTCACAGAAATTTTTAGTGAAAATACTTCATTCAAAATTCTGATTTTTTGTCTACAAAAGACTGATGCTCACTGAAAGGTTGCAAAGTTGTATGAAGATACACAGAACATGTCAGAAGTTATAGTGTTAAAACTATAAAGGTCAATTTGTGGTTCATGAACTTGGCTGATTTAACTGAGCTCATAGCGAGAGAGTTAACAGGAGGTATAGCTAGAAGTCTTACCTTGATGATCCCTTATCTTGTTAGTCTCATTTCCATATGGTTATCCTTATTGATTACATTGTGTATTGTTGCCTGGGGCATATGAACAGCTTTTGCCACTGACCTAAATTGTGTTCATGGATTCTCAACTGTTACAAAATGCCATACTTTGCTTACTACAGCTGGGGTATAATTTGTCTCTGTCTGGGTGGTCTGGTGCATCAAGTTGATCCATACTACTTTGTTTTCCAATGCCTTTAAGTATATGTGGGATCCCTTTCTTGCAAAATTATAATTCCTTGATCTCAACACAATTTTATGATCTGAGTGTATATGAATATTTTGTGTCTGAGAAAGCTTTTACATACCCTTGGCAAAAGCAATCAATTTCAAGTGGCATCATACTACTTACAAAATACCAAACAGGATCAAAGTGTAGTTCTTATACATCTGTTCCACTATGATTTTTATATCAGCTGTGGTTGTTAAGTAACTTTCTGATTTGCATATTCAAAATACTTTTAATATAACATATTTAGCCCTCTGTATTAATTGATTTTAAATATGCTCTTAGAAACTTTCATTCTCAAAAAATTTATCACTTTATTTTTATATTATTTTGATATAGGTGAAAATAAAAACATGTAGCATACTGAAACACTTATTAACAAAAGCCAACATAAAACCAGGAAATAAAAAGCAACTTTTTTTTTTTGCAGTATATTAAACTATGTACTAGTTGAAATTAAAAGTAAGTTGTAGCTACCTTATTTGTCACTGTGTTACAAGTTTTTTAGGCTCAACAGTTTAGATTTGTAATGTACATCTGAAACACAGCAATGGAGAATTTTAACTCTGTTACATCATTTTATGTATTGAGGCTGTTACAATTTTTAAATGCTGGGATCTACATATGAATGTGTTAATAAATAAATGGATCATCATATACTTTCTCACTTTACCTTCACATATTTGTATGTATGAGATCAGGATTTCAGGATGACATTTTATTTATGAGAATGAAACATAAGAAGTTCATACAATGTAACATGAACATGTTTGTCAACAGATACCTTTTAACTGTCCTGATATAAAACAGTGTCTTTCTCTCCACTAAGAATGGGCATTAATTTGACTACCACAGACTTCCAGTATTTTAAATTTGAAGACTAAAATAATCATTGAATGAATTTTGCTACTTGACACTACAACAGATGGTCTGTATATGTGTTGCATTCATTGCATTAGTTATGGGTTGCATACCATTGAAGAAAAAAAGTGGAATGGTAACCAGAATGTTTGTAATTAGTGGATATGGTTTTACTTAATTTGATTTTTCTTTATTTGTATCTTTTTTTTTTCTTTATCTAACACAAAAGCTACAATGTAGAAATACCCATCTGAATTATTAAGGTATTAACAATCACAATTTTAATTTTTGAAGAAATTAAATTCAAGAATGTTACATTTTGAAAACCGAATTTTTTTTTTACATTATAGTTATACCATGATTTTTTTGTCATAATGTCAGCTATAATTTTGTTGTAAGTATTAAGAATGAAATTTTAATGATTGATTTAGATAGAAGAGTTAGCACACAGGATCACATATAAAAAGCACATGTTTAATAGTTGAATAGCTCCAGCAACTTGATGGAATTACCAACTACTAGGCTTCTGATCAACTTATAATTCTGCATGGGAAAGGTATCCTTCATTAAGCATTACGTTACTTTATGCCCAACATTCTCACATAATAAATAAAGTACAAAACAGATAAAAATGGAATGGAAAAAAGTTAAAATATGGCAATTATGTCATATTTTAACCCTAATGATACCAGATTAACATTGGTGAAACCTCAACATATTTCAATTGTTATGTTAGATCTCATGTTTAGCTGTTTTTATGCCTTGTATATTAACAATATGTATGTAATACCTTCAGAACTTCAAACATTTCTTACATAATTCTGTAACTCTAGAGTACCAGGAGACATTGATGAAGTAAATGCTATGAAGTTGAGAATGGATCAGTGGGAAATGCCCGAGTGCAATGATCCACATGTCCCTGCATCCCTTCTGAAACTGTGGTACAGAGAACTCTATGAGCCTCTTATTCCTGACGAGTTCTACAATGAGTGTATAGAATATTGTAATGATCCAGAATCTGCATTGAGTATCGTAGAAAGATTACCAGAAATTAACCAACTAGTTTTATCCTACTTGATAAGATTTTTACAGGTAAATCATATGAGTTCTGCTCACTGCATATAGTTCAAATCAAATTACAATGTTAAGACTTAAATACAGTTATTCTGGTGTGAAGAATATAGCTTTCATAAACATAATGATGGTGCATGAATTATGACATACATGATGTTTGCAGGGAAATATCTAAGCTCCAAAAGAGTATAGTTTAGAAACAAAAATTTAAAGAGACAGCCTATAATTTCTGCAAATTTCAGATTTTAAACTAAATCTATTTTGTCAAATTTCTCTACCTTTTCAAAGGATTTAGATTTCAATATACAAATTCTGAAATGACACCTAGGTCTAATTTGGAATTATCACTTTCAGGAAATCACTAGGTTCTATTTGTATGCAGGCTTACTTTTTGTGTTTCTTTAAGTTGGTTTTCAAAAAAGAAAAAGTTAATTGGTTTATTAAGAAATTAGATTCGCTCCAATGAATTACTTGTAGATAGAATATAAAACCTTTAGTGGTTGATAGACTCCTTGAAGAAAGTTTTCTTCATTGTTAGATTTACACAAAAAAAAGAAAGATTTTAATGATGGTATTAAATGGTATTAGTTTTACAGAGCAGTGGAATTAAAGTAATAATTTACATTTTACATCTAAAAAGCTCGTCTTATTTTAATTAATCAATTTTGTATTATGTTTTAAAATTTCAGTGTAGTTTAAAGGTGAGTGAGGTAATTTTGTTTCATGCTTAGAAAAAAACAATGCTTCAAATTATAATGAACCTAGTGAAAAATTATAGCAACAGTGCTGTACATTTCTAACCATAAATTCACCTTTAACAAGTAGTTATTTCACATTTTGTTAATAATAATCTATAAAGTATAATATACTTTCATAGGGTGATAGCACTGTTAGTTACATAGGAATTTTATTTTTCCATATAAAAGTTTTAACTCATACTTGTATTAGGTCTAGCTTTGTTTGTTTTTACCTTTATTATTTGCTTGGAAATTAAATTTTAAAGTTGTGAGCTAATCTTTATGATAGGTATAGCTTATCAAGAACATTTATAAATATAAACTGATAATTTTAATTTATTAATACTAAGATTTTAACATTTATTGTAGAAAATGTTTCTTCTATTCACAAGAGATTGGGTCAATGAATCATTAATATTCTTTGTTATGGAATTAGACATACTTGTTTCTACAATATTCTCAACTCAGACAGCACATTAGAAACAGCATCCACATTTATGGATATTTCTTTAATAATACATTACAAATTATGTATATATAAAAGTCTTTCTAGGATTTTATTTTTAGAATACAGGATTGGTATCTGCTGTTGGAATTGGAAAGTTAAGGACTATTTTTTTTTAAGGTTTTTGCAGCTGAAGAAAATGCTTCTGTGACCAAAATGAATGCTAATAACCTGGCTATGGTTATGGCCCCAAACTGCTTACGCTTTATGTCTGATGACCCAAGAATTATTTTTGAGAATACAAGAAAAGAAATGGCCTTTGTAAGAACATTGATTCAGAATTTTGATACAAGTTATATGGAAGGAGTGATCTGATACCTCAAGGAATACAACAATTTATAATGTAAAGTGATTGATTATATGAACAGAAATTATTTATGAATATAGTAAATTAAATTATAAAAAAAAGTAATTTTTATGATGCTGAGAGTAGTTACATTATTCTGTGAGGTTTGTGATGAGACCGGTGAGCTTATATTAAATGTCTTGTATTATCTGTTAATACAAAAAATAGCAATTAATAAAAAAAAAAACTGATTTCTTTATGCAGAAACATGTAACCTCAATTTTTATTTTATTTTATCAAACCTATATAATTCATTTCTGTTAACTGGTCTCTTTAATGTCCTACTAAATCCATACTGTACTGTAGTAGTTTAAAAAAAATAAGCATTATTGCTGATATCACTTCTGTGTACAGTATTTGTTAGCACATTTTCTGCCAGAATTTGGTGATATTGAATATGTATCATATTTATTTTTTTGACAAATGTCTACTTGTGGAGTGAACAAGTTTGTTTCTTTTAAGTTAATCTTTTTTTTTTCCGTGATAAGATTTAGACACCAGAACTTTTATTACATATAAGAACATATCCATGATTGTCATGTAAGGATAGAGACTGTTGAACACATTCTTTCATAATTCGTTGATCAAAATGGTAATTCTGGTGCTTAGAATAAAGATATGCTTAAGAGTAAGTTCTGGAACTCCTTCTTTTTTATTTTTATTGTTTCTTTAGTTTAATTTTTTGGTTATTATCAGTTGTTTTGTTGACAAGAAAGAGCAACAGAAACTGCACCAGTTTTGTTTAGTTTATACTTTTCAAAGAAATAGAAAACATTTCTATGCATTTTCTGGCTGTGGTATTATTGACTTTCATCAGTTGATGATTTTATAATCTACTATAAAGTAACTTTTAAAATTTGTGATAAGGTGTTACATTACAGTGGATTCTGTACAAAATATTGATCCAGCTACAATGTTACATAGCTAATGCAATTCCAGTTATTTTAATAAGCAAGTTAACATATTAAAGGAATTAACAATTATTTCATGAGACTAAGAAAAATACTTAATTTTTTTAATAAATCGTTTTATATTCTGATTTTTCAAGACACTAACTGGGAATTCGAGGCATGGGTTTGACAGCACCTAGCAACACCTGTGCTGTTAATTGCAATAATATTTTATATGCATTTGTTAACAAATGTATTTTGTTGTATAAAATTTTTATCTGTTAGTAGTGTGTTTTGCTGTGAAGAAAACAAAAGTTACTGTTAAAATAAAACAAAGCTGTAGCTTCAGTACTTCCTAGGGTTAAAAGAATAGGGTGAGTGTACTTCAGTTAAGTAAAAATGTATTGTGTGAAAAGTTCAATATTATCAATTTATATATATTTTCATTTTTTCACAACACTGTTTCATATATATATATATATATATATATATATTATTAATAATGAGACTATACATAAAGCAGGAAACAAAAACTGATAAGAAATGTGAACTCCTAAAGGTACTTCAGATTAACGTACTTTTATGATCCTTCTTATCATCATCACCATTACAGTTATTATTCAAAAACTATAAACCGTACACTGCTTATTTTACTTTTTTCAGCAAATGTTTTACATTATGAGTCTTTTTTTTTGCCTTAACCTGCATCAATTGTGCAGTGCATTTTAAATATAAAATATAAAATACGTTGTTAAAAATCTACTTAAGTGAAGCGTGGGTGAGAGTGGACAGGATAAGGAAGCATGTTGTGCTTTGTTTCGTAGTACTTATTTCCTCTTATTGGAAACAACATTTAGACTACTCTGAATGACCAATATAATCTTATTGATGGTATCACGTACTGTTATTTTTGAACATGCTGATTTACATAGTTTGCAAGCCATTGACGAGTTAACTCCAGTTTTTTGCTGAATAAGAATATCCTGTATTTACAAAAAGAATAGTAACTCACATCACAAGAACACCAGAATATTTCTTTGTAATTTATCTTAACTGTTTTCGGACGTTTGTTTTTCTGCAAATGGTAGGACTTTTCACCATAGTAAAACATGTATTTGTTTCAGTATATATCAGATGTAATACTAGTCTTCAATAAGTAACTCAATGTTGAGTAATACTATTATGTTTCTGAAAACACTGTATTGAGAAAGAAGTGGATCCCAAAATCAAAACAATATACAGTTCAGTTTCTAAATAAAACGTTGACCATTGTTTTGATTTATAACTTACTGTATGCTGATTTCTATCTCTGGATCCATATAGCTAGCTTCTTTTGATGTTTCTTTTTCCAGTGTTCTCTTTATTTGGTGTTTTTGCTTTAATTCCACCACTTAGTTGTCAGCTAGCATTGATGTGTTTGATGGTCTTATAGTTTTAATTCAAGTTGTAGTGTTTCGTTAATGCATTGAGGATTGAAAATTTGAAATTGGATGAGATGACTTTTAAAGACAATTTTTATGATCAGGTTTGTTTTACTTTTCTTTTTCTCTTGAAATACTGATACCTATGATTATGCATCTTAGACAATGAACATGTTATGTTATTAAACTTGACTTTAAAAAAGTCTTTATCACCACCGGATACTTCAACTTGTTTAAAAGGTTTAAGAAAAAAACTATTTCCTGATTTATTTGCTAGTTGAAATTTTAGACCATGATATAAGTGTATGTCTTATATATGAAAGTTTTAAGTTCAATTATTTTATTAATTTTAGAGGAATATTTAAAAAACCTTACAATACTTTGAATTAAAAATCACAAAGAAAGGAATTCATGAAACAAGTTGTCCAACACAACTTGTATGTACATGATGCAACAATATTCACTAGTATACTTGAACAAACCAACACATCTTGTATATTAGTGATGCATTAATATTCGCCAATATACTTGAACAAACCAACACATCTTGTATATTAGTGATGCATCAATATTCACCAATATACTTGAACAAACCAACACATCTTGTATATTAGTGATGCAACAATATTCACTAGTATACTCAAACAAAATATTACTGAAAGTATTATGAATCAGCAGGAATCCAGTATAACTTTTTCAAACAAGATTTAAGCCAATGTATATGTGCCAAATTTTTTCAAATTTGTACTTAGTCAAAAATTTTCCAATTACTCTTTTTAGTGGAAAATATTCATTCCAAACTAAAACAACAACCCATTTTTCAGTAGAATCATTTTGTAAAAGCTTAAATTACTCTCTTCAGGTTTAATGTTATCAAGATCTGTGAGAGACAGAAGCATGAGTTCACAACTAATTAAACAGAAAGAAATGACATACTGCAATTTTGATGTATTGGCATATGAGTGAGTGACTTGCTAGTTCATCCATGACTTTGATAGATGAATGAGTGAGACAGAAATGAGTAATGTATTAGCTCATAATTTGCAAGATGAATAGCAAAAAATACAGTCTGAAGTACAGTGATTCAATAACAACACAGGTTGTGATCTGTTTGATTAAGACAGATAATTTGGATTTAAATGTTTTTCAATTAATATTATAATACTAATTGCCAAGTTTGATGGTTAACAACAAGGTACTTTTTAGTATATATTAAAACTTCATTCTTAAAAATAAACTTTCTTGTTTATATGGTTCATTTTAACTTATTGAAAATTAAACACAAAAGCATAACTCTTTGTGTAAATCAATGTGTGTGTGTGTTTACTCAGTAGATATTTAGGGATTTATTTTTTGGGGCAGTTAATTAACTAGTTCTCAAAATTGAATGTCTTCTGTATAAAGACAGTATACCTAGATAACTGTAGTGACTATAATGTTGTAGACCAGGTGTAACCAACAGTTAATAGCTCAGGGAAATAAATTGCAATGACAAGGGGGCAACTGTCAGAATACTGGTAAGTTATCTTTACATCAGTACAACTTCTGGATAAAGACAGTATATCTAGATAACTGTAGTGACTAGAATGTTGTAGACCAGGTGTAACCAACAGTTAATAGCTCAGGGAAATAAATTGCAATGATAAGGGGGCAACTGTCAGAATACTGGTAAGTTATCTTTACATCAGTACAACTTTTGACAGTCTAATGACATTTGTATAAGTAAATCCAGATAGGTATAGAAAGTAGTGTCTATGCAGGAATGAGAAATATTCAAAGACCTAAATGAATTACTGACTTGCAACATGCTGGTTGGCCACCTCCTATCGTAGATGAATAGGTTTAGGTTAACTAGTAGTACTAACTAATACATCTCTGATATTTCTTTACAACAAACAGGCCACCTCCTGTCGTAGATGAATAGATTTAGGTTAACTAGTAGTACTAACTAATACATCTCTGATATTTCTTTACAACAAACAGGCCACCTCCTGTCATAGATGAATAGGTTTAGGTTAACTAGTAGTATTAACTAATACATCCCTGATATTTCTTTACAACAAACAGGCCACCTCCTGTCATAGATGAATAGGTTTAGGTTAACTAGTAGTACTAACTAATACATCTCTGATATTTCTTTATAACAAACAACTGTAGTTAAAAACTCCAACCTAGAAGCTTTTGGTGAAATATTTGAAAGGAATAAGTGTACGTACTACTTGGAAATTATGTTTGTTTGCTGGATTTCCAGGACACACTTATTAAAGCTAGATACTTCATTGTTGTTTTTTTTTGTTCTGGTGATTTTGCTTAGGGTTGAATATAATTTACTAAAGTGCAACCTATTTGTAAGAAACTTAATCTGATTGTGAATTAATATTCTCTTTATGGAAGTTTCTCTTAGACAACTACAACTACTTTTTTATTTTCAACATTTCATGTGTTCTTTTATCATTGTTTTTCTTATTATCTGTTTCAGTTATTTAGTTTTGCCCTGATCAATGCTATTTAAACCTTTAATTTAACATATTTACCTTTGAAGTGCACAGTTACTGAGTTTTTTTACTATATAACTTGCTTTAGTTCAGTTCCTAAAACAACCTTCAGTGTTTTTTTAATCTATTTGATTTTTTATACCACAGGCTCTCTGATATTTTTTGTAAACATCTTTCCAATGTAAAACTTCCTGGCTTGTCTGAAAGCTTTGTAATGTATACTCATGTTTAGGTTTATATACTTTTTGTGTATATGTTGTTTTTTTTTCATGTGATCTCACTAAAATTTGAGTTTCATATCTTGCATACCAACTCCAGATCTGATGTAGCTTGTATAGCTGAAATATATTGTGGTGATGTAATAAACACTTTATGTTTTTTAATCACTAGTAGTGCTTTTTACTGCAGTTTCAGTGATAGATCTGTTATAATTTAGGACTTTACTTTTTTCTCTGATCCTATTAAACTTTTTTTGTCTTTTAGAGCAGTGTGTTATTCACTGTTAATGCTAACGTTGCTTTCTAAAAGAAGCTGAATGATCTTCACTAATTTTATGCTCTATCTCTGTAGATATATTCACTGTTTGTGTGTGTGTGTGATAGAGAGAGAGAAAATTCTTACCAAGATATCTACCAGTGGGGAATTTAGTTAGTTTTAAAACCTTGCTTTAAGTCATCAATCACGCAAACGTTTTTGCACCTGACACAATGGATAATGAAATATGGAAAGTATTATTAAGTCACTTTTCTAGAAATCTTCTTTTTGTAAAATTATTGTGCATTATACTTAATGTAATTCAACATAGTGATGTTTTCCTTTAGGTTTTTTTTCTTGTGCATTACTAATGTTAACATTAATAAACTTTTGTTTGCTTTTTAACAACCATAAAGTCCTAGAATAAAACAAATTTCACTAATTAATTATACCAACTTCAGAAATGTAACTGGCCATTAATGTGTAGTTGTTAAAAGTGTTGGCATTTTTTGTTGTTGTTGTTCATATACACGGGGTGGGAGTACCATGGGCCTTGTCCAAGAAAATTGGAAATTTGATATGCAGTTTGGTGCAAATATATACCTTCTGAAAACTGTTACATACATGGAAGGGACTTCTGTTAGTTGATAGAGGAAAGTGGTTTGGCCAAGACATTTCTGTCAGAACACAGGAGAGCCAGGAAAAAAGATAAATGAATGCTTTTTTCCCATTTTGTTGTCCTTTTTACTGTTTTTACTTCCACTTTGGTATCGAAACTGAAATCCACCACTGGTTGTTAATATAAAATGCATCTCTTAATGATGAAAGTATGATAAAATAAGTAAAAATGGAAGATTTATAAAACAGAAACGCTTATGTATATAATGTTGAAAACTAATATATAGAAACTATCTATTGTCTTACTGTGTAGTTTTAATAGAATTCAATTTATTGTCATTTTTTTGTGTTGTTAAAAAGTGTACAGGTTAAGACGAGTGTTCCTTAAAAGGAAATATTTATTGAACTGTGTCATTTGTTTTTAGAGCAAAACAAACACATGTTTTTTGTTTACTGAAGTTTTGTTATAAAGTATATTGAAAGTAGATTTTAACTTTGAGAAGTACCTAAAATTCTATTGTAAGAATGAAATAAAATGAATAATAACTGTATGTTTGTATTCACCATAAAATTAGTTGCAAGATATTTCATTCACTTTACCTAAGTGTTGTGTGTATCAGGACTATACGTTAAGTATTGTGTTCAATTTGGCAAACATCCTTCACAAAATCTTAAAAATATTACACTATAATAGAACAAAGATGAAAAAAATAATTATGTTTATAAGTGAGTTTGCAAATGCTTATAATGCATTTAGTTCTACTAAGGGGAGAAATTAAAAAAAAAATGTTCTAATTGCAAGATACGTGTATATACATATCACTATAATCCTATCACCAAAATGTGTATATAAATCAATGAAACTTCAATGACACTTTCTGAATTGCTGGCCTAAATAGTCTTTCGACTTATACAGAGACATCATGGGGGGCTATACCCCCCCCCCCTCTCCAAAGCTCAAGGGTGCTCGACTGACAGTTTCTGTAAAGCATTTCTAGTCAGTCTGGATTAGCACATATATTTGCAAGTGATGCCATAGTGTAGGTCCTCCAGCTGAATTGAGGGCCCACATGAAGTCAACTTTCTTTGTCCCCCCCCCTGAAGTCTAAGTGGGTGACACTCCTACATGATAACATTTATACCAACTGGCAATAATGAATTTTTGTTATATTTTACAAATGTTAATATAACTTCTTTTTTTTATTTTTTCCAGTACAGTGTCACAGAATAATTAGTTATATTACGTGTAAACTGTTTAAGTAAATGGTGTGATATCTCGGAAGATATTGCCACTGACCTTAACCACACTTGTCCGTGCAAAAGGTTACGAAAAGCCTTTAGCTGAACGATAAACCACCTGCTAATATGGGGTTTTAATTATTGAAACTAGCTGGTTATTACAGTAATAAGTAATAGTGGAGATACATAAAGAAAATAATTAAATGAAGCCAGAATTTGTTTTTTTAAAGGAAGAATATGAATTGTTAAAAATAGCATGATAGAAAATTTCAATGACAAACAAGAAAGCTACCAAAAATTGTGAAAGGCAGTGGGAAAACTGTTAATCATATAAAGAGAAATCATCGTTTCTAACATTACATTTGTTTATGAATAAAATGTGCAGAGTATTTTGAAAACCATAGGGTAGCAAAAGCAAGTCTAAGTGCAATTTATGTCCTATTTGAAATATAGAGTGGCGCAAAACTTAGATATGTCCCACAGTGGTATGTCTGCCACTTGTACTGCTAGAAACCGGGTTTCGATACCCGTGGTGGGCAGAGCACAGGTAGCTCTTTGTGTAGCTTTGTGCTTAATAACAAACAACAACGGTTACATTTTGCCCCACAGTGGTATGTCTGCGGATTTATTCAGCTAGAAACCGGGTTTCGATACCCGTGGTGGGCAGAGCACTGATAACCCTTTGCGTAGCTTTGTGCTTAATAACAAAGAAGAACAGTTAAATTTCATCTTTGTGGACAACATTCGACCTGTAGCATCCAGTGTCATTGGTCCTTCATCAGTTTCTTTGGGCTGCAATATACTTTCCACATTTACTTCAATATTAATCTGAAACAGGGGAATATTGAAAAAGAATTTAGTAAAGTGTTGAGAAATGAATTGGTAACAATGTTGCTGCTTGCCAGTGAAATCATTGTTATATAGTAAAACATCAAGCGGTAAAGATAGAGAAAGAGAAGAAAAAACAAACTTAAAATTACTCGTGCAAATGTAAAACTGAAACATTCCCAAAAGCTGGAGAATAAATGCACATGTATATATATATATATATATATATATAATTATGGTACAGGTTTATAATAAATACAATCATATATCAGTTAGAATAACATAAAAGTAAATATATTAACAGATACGGTAAGATTTTTCAACGATTGTATAAACTATAAAACGTCTGTAATTTGTGAATGGATTAACCAATATGGAAAATTTTGGAGAGAATAATTGTGCAACTATAAAATTCCTTGAAGATTATTATAGAAAATATGGCATTTACCATATTTACATTACACTTAGATCAAATACCCTTCAACAACTGTCTGTATTGGAATTGATGTAGCCTACAATTTAATAATCATTATTTGTACTTTTTTTATGGCCGAAAGGGGCGTATATGTTTACTAAAAACTCAGACAGTGTCAAGTATTTGATCAAAATAAATAATTTGCAAGGTTTAATCGAAACAAATGAATATAGGTTAGCTTTTCTGGTTTATATAATTTCAGTGTTTGGTGCATTTATTAATTTTAAAATTGAGAAAGCTGAACTGGACGACAAATTGAAAATGCGCAAAAACTAATTCTTATGGCTTCGTCTTTGTTGACCCTACAAAGCTTTTTAGAAATATCTTTGACAGTTTGTGCTCCAGTGGCTCAGCTGAAAGTCTGCAGGCTTACGACGCTAGAAGTCGGGTTTCGATACTTGTGGCGGGCAGAGCACAGATAGCCCATTGCGTAGCTATGCACTAAACAACAATCAACGAACTATTAACATTTATATACTTTGTTTTTTAGCAACACAAGAAAGACTAAAACAGTATGTTTAATTTTAATCATTACACAACAAGTACAGATCGAAAATAAATTAATTGCCTTCTCTGTATTAATGGAAATTAATGTTTCTTACAATTGTAATGACTTGTAATAATTATGAATTTCAGCCTTCCTTAACTATTAAGTATATATCTTTTAGTAAGCTATATTCAGGTAATTTTTTCTAAATCCTTTCGTGTGGGTAATCTGCCCGTAGTATTGTATTATTGTTAAAACAGATGTCGAAAGGTCATAAGCAAATACTAATTCCATCACTAATGTGACGTTGCATACGCCAACGTCTAGAAATTCGTATCACTTTGACCCTATGTTTGAATCTCCTTGGGAGAGACGAACCCGTCTTAAGGCGTAGTTCAGAAACTTGTACAAATCGATATAAATTGGAGATTTTCCTCCGAATAAATATTAACAGTGATATATGTAACGTTGGATTTTGGTATACCACATTTCTGGCGTCTATCTTGAATATTTGCCTATAAATATTTTTGTCTTTGTCCTGTGTGGATGTTTCAAAGAAAGACTCCTCTCAGCCCCAGCAGTCAGTTAAAGTCACACTAGAATTAAGAGTGGGTAATTAAATGAAATACTTGAAAGTATATCATTCATTCTGAACAACGATTTTGTTTATTTTTTCACTTGTGTTTGTTTCTTTTCTTTGTTATCAGTGTTCGATTTAAACTCTACTTAACATTACCGGAAACTGCGTTTTGCGGATACTTTTGAACTCATCTATCAGTTATCAGTAGACCTGAATACCACATATTAGTTTGAAAGTATAATTTTAGTGCCGTGATCAAAGAATTTGTTATTTTGGAGTTTATTTTAAACTTGCTTCTTTTCCTGTTTTACTCTCTGATGCTTTCGATGAGAGCAAGTTACATGCATAGATAAAACTAAAAATCAGCTTGCCAATGAGTATAGCTAATTAAATGTTCTTTCATTAAGTTATTACTTATGGCGATTAGAATGCTTTATTTCATCGCTGTTGACGATATTTTCGACCGTAAACCCAATAATATCTCTCGATGCCCCCCCCCCCAGCTTAGGAGATGCGTGTTAGTTCATATACTAAGCTGACAATGTAAAATAATCTCTATAATAAAACATTATCTGTGTAACTTCCTTGAAAATCGCAGTTCACACATCCTCATCCATTATAGCATCCAAAGATTGGTCATGTATTAATGAATCCACCATTTCATGTGGAGCACCTGGATAGA